GTCCAAGTCACGATCCTTTCTCTTCCTCACTTTGGCTAACATGTACAACTTCTTTTCCCCGACTTTGCTCCCAAGCTCCGCATACATGAGTCCAAAGGCAGCAGTCTTAGCTGCCATAACCGCTAACTTCACCTCTTTCTTTGCCTTCTTATAACATTCCCAATTCATCCTCTTTTCCTCCTGTGCTCTCCACTAGTTTCAAATAAGCTGCTTTCTTGACTTCTTATAACATTCCCAATTTGAGCCTTCAGGCATTAGATCAAATCAAAGTGATTATGAGGAAGGAACAACCATGGAAAACGAGTATGGGGATCCAAGTGATGAATATGAAGCAAGCGAGGATAAAGAATTATATGATGAATTTGAAAAAAAGTGATGATGAAAATAAATATGATCAATTTGAAGAAAGCGATGAGGATTGAGTTGTTTGTGTGTTTTATAACATGTTTGAATTCTTATGTTATTTCTTATATTATTGTTTTATTTTTATATCTTGTTGGACTTTATATATGTTCTTTTTTAATTGTTATAATATGTAGAAGAATTGCTTTATATTATTACCTGTTATTTTTATTATTATTATTATATATTGTTTTACTTAAATTGCACAGGTGGCTTCTAAGGGTAAAGAATCGAAACAATCTAAGAAGAAAAAAAATACGTAGCCATCCACGAGTGATCAAGTTCCTTTACACATGCCTGGGATGAGTCCTCCTCCTAGTTTTCCTCGTCTTTCTCAGTCGACGACTATATTACCACATGAGTTTTTCAGAGTCCCTCCTCCCTCCGGCTAACACAGTACAGTATTATTCCATGCCGACCCAGGGTGGTTCAACCTCCACTACTATTAATTTTATGCCCACGCGTAATATTCCACATTTGAGTCATCGTGTTCCTGCTAGACACCATGATGTCTCACCATTGATTCCATCATAGGGCGGGCATTACGGTTAGTATAATGGTTCATCTTTTGTGCCTCCATCATTATCCATTCCATTATCATATCCATCATCATCTACGCCTAGTATTTCTAGACTGGATATTAGAGGATCTCAGGCGGTTGCATCTCCATCTACTAATACTGCTTCAGTTGCTCCTTCATGGAGACAGTATGCTGGTGGGACAGTAGAGTACGATCATATGCATCGATTGATTATCGTACCCTATGGGGACGGGTAAGTAATTCTTAAATTTTTAATTATTAGAATAAAGATCTACATATATTTAACGAATGTTTGTTTTACATATAATGTAGGTTTTTGTCATCCTTTCAGGCCACACATATGGTTGTGGAAGCTATGAAGCCATTTTTCCATGAGCCGTAGAATTTTTGGAGAGAGATTCTATACAAAATCAGAGTGAATATGTGGCTTAAATTTGAGGTATGAATATATATAATTTACATAATATTTATTGTGTCCGTCTAACATTTATTTTAATTACATACTAAGTGTGTATGGCAGCCTCAACATGAAAATCAGGTGAATGAAAATTTCGAGAAGAGAGCTCAGAAAAAGATTAAAGATACTCATTTTGTTGCTCTAAAAGGTGGGAGCAGGCCTTTATGGTTGAAGATGTTTGGCTTCAACTATTGGCGAAGAAGAAGAAGAAGAAGAAGAAGAAGAAGAAGAAGAAGAAGAAGAAGAAGAAGAAGAAGAAGAAGAAGAAGAAGAAGAAGAAGAAGAAGAAGAAGAATAAGAAGAAGAAGAAGAAGAAGGCGATGGAAAACAGAGCCTCCAGTAAGGGTGGCTCGTTGCACATTGGAGGCTCAATCAATTTTGCGGCCCATTGATTGAGATTAATAAGGTATTTATAAAATTTTACTTTGCTTTACTTATATGAGATTCAAGTAATAAACTCATATTGACACATAAGAAGAAGAAGAAGAAGAAGAAGAATTTTGAAAGAAAATGCTACTGTCTTTGAGGAGACAGAGGAGGAGGATGCATCGAACCACGTGCATCAAATACATATATAAGATTCGAACAATATTACCTTTATTCTTGGTTAAGATTAATTCGTTTATATAATGTTTGTCAACAACATTTCATGAAAGGTATCATAGAAGAATGGAGGAGTGGCAACAAACTCAGCTTGATTCTCAACCGACGCCCGAAGATATGACTTCGATATGGACACAGGTAGCCGTGGAATAAATAAAGGTATTTTAATAATTTTTTAGATATGACTTCATTTTAATGTTATTTTGCACAAGTTGTATGTTTCTTCTCTTGCTCTTCATGAAAATAAACAGAGTCTACGGATTTGGAATGCAGCCATCGTCTAGTCGTCCAACTGCATTATTTAGCGGTGCTTCTACTTCACCCGAAGAAATTGAGAATGAGCGGATACAAATCAATGAATTATCTCAACAATGAAACAGTGTTCAAGAAACAATAATATGATGCGGACATTCATGGCAAACCATGGAAAACAACATCATTCAATAGAAGAATCTAACAATGAAGAGACTGAAACCAATGATGATCGATAGCAATTTGGATTGTGTAATAGGATATTTAGACTTTATTGGTTATTGCAAAACTTTGTTCGTTTTAGACTTGATGTATTGTGATTTTGGTTGAAAGCTTTAGATTTTTATATGGTTTAATAGAATAGTTGGTTTTGTTTAAACAAGTTTGATACTTGTTGTTTTAGGTTCTATTGACAGAATATTTGTGATAATGGTTGTTGTGTATTGGTTGTTTGATTTGGCAGGGAGTGTGGCTTACTGCTGTATTTTACCAAAATTTGTGAGTGATTTCTAATCAAAGTGATCGGTAATTAGACCTGAAAATTCCTAGATTTGAGGTTGAAGTCGTCGGAATTATAATTAATTATTTTTTTCTTAATTTCCAATCAATTCGGTCAAAAAATTTTAAATAAAATAAAAAATAATAATTAAATTACCTACCAAATCAGTCGAAAAATTTAATATATAATTAATTTGTATTAATAATATTGCAACTGAATCAGTCGCAAATATGCCGACCAAAGTGGTCGCAAGCTTTAATTTCACCCGGTCAACTAAAAAATCTTGTTTGCAACCAAAATGGTCGGAATTTGCAATCGATTGTATCGCAAATATTTTGCGACCATCATTTTTCCTACCACTTAAAATTCGCCCGAAATAAGAGATTCCAACTGATTCCGACGGATTTCATGGTCGAAAATTTGGCAATTTCTAGTAGTGAGAGGTCTGCCATACATTATCGGAGGGGAGTAGCGTAGCTGATCAACTAGCAAAGTTTGGGAATAAGATAGCTACTAAATAGGAGCATGATGTTGCACTTTATGGAAAATATCTTTACTTACGTCAGTTCCAACTAAGGGTGTTAAACGAGCCGGGTCAACCTGTTTTCAGACCGGCCCGGACCGATTGAAACCCAGACCGGTATATAGGAGGCCGGGTGGGCTGGGTTACTAGGGTTAGGGTGTTGGTCCGTTCACTTTCATTCATCCGGTTAACCCAGTCAACCAAAATCCTTGTAGAATCGGTTAACCGGCCCGGACCAGTTTAATGGCTAGATTTCAATTTTTTTAAGGTTGAAGAACATTGGCAACGATCAGCTACCTTATGGTCGTTGCCCAACGTTATTATTGCACAAATAGCCCTTTTTGGGCAATATTTTATAAAATAACACTTTTCGTAATTACTAATTTAGCCCATTGAAAAACTATAAATACACCCCCATCTTCTTCATTTCTTCACTCATCTCTCATTTCTCAAACCCATATTCTCAATTCAAGTTAAATCATGCCTCGTACTTCTAGAGTGTGGTCATATGTTTGGGAACACTTTTAGGTGGTAGAAGAAAATGAAGAAGTTTACAAAGTAAAGTGCAAGAACTGTGGTCTAGTTTTAAATCTTCGTCTAAAGTGGGTGGGCACAAGCAGTCTAAGGAAGCATATGAAGAGTTGTCTTGAGCGTCCTCCAGAAATTCGTATTTAAGTTGATTTGAGACAATTTGTGTTATTTTAAAATTATTAGACGTATTTATGCTTACTGTTTTAGTTTGTTAGATTAATTTGAAGTATTATTATGCAATGAAAATTTAGTTTTATTCTTTTTTCGTTAATTTACTTGTTGTTAATTTGCAAAGTTCAATTTGTAAGTTTGAAATTAAAAAAGCACTTGCAAATTACAAGTGCAATTTTTTTTCCATCTTCATTGTATTTTTTATATTAATATAAATTACAATAGTTATACAAAATACAAAAAAAAGAATAACACTAACACGGACCGGCCCGGCCACCTTGGACCCGTAGCCCTTACAGTTTATTTTTTACCCAGATAGACCCGGACACGTTAAGCCCGGTAAACCCTAACCCGTAACCGGCCCAGATTGAAACTCGGCCGGTTTCGTTTTTTCCCAATCCGGACCGGACCGGCCCACCCGTTTAACACCCTTAGTTCCAACTAGACTTGGGGGATCCGTAACATTTCGTTCAGTTGCCATTTCTGTAATAAACTCCTTTACTTAGTTTTTAAATAAAATGCTTTCTTTAGCGCAAAAAGAAAAAAAAATGAAATACTTAGCACATATATAAATGTAGTTCCTGAAATTGTGGAATGGCCGTAAGAAATTACACTACTCCATAAATAATATGAATATCAACAGGCATGACCAACGTGAGGGGTTTTTTTTTTTTTTTTTAAATTTAACCATTCTGCTTTGCTCATATGGTCTCGGGAAATGAAAGGTTAAGTATAACTTATATCCCAACACAGTCACATATTTACCCTGGCCATTTTCTTTTCTTTTCTTTTTTATGAATCAAAATTTTCATTACTAAACCCCAAGTCGGTGTCAAAGGAAAACAAGCATGTCTTTCTATTTACTGGTCAGAATAAAGTCGTCATTCCAATTAATATCTTCTTTTCTCGCAAGAAGCTTCTCACAGAAAACATGTTTTGAACGTACAACCAATCAAAACGTAAACACTATTGTTAATGTTTCTCTTTTTTTGTTGGTGGTCTTGTCGTGGGAGGGGGTTAATATGCGCTATTGTTAATCTGAAAATTACGTAAACTGTCAGCATATATTACAACATTTACTTATAAACGACCACATGGATATTGATTCACTAATACTTTCAACTACAGACATCAAAAACTGCCTCTAATTGAGACCAATTTTGTAAGCTCAATCCCCCCGGCCCCACAGTCAACTATCAACACTTGGCTCCTAAACGTACTAATTCAGCTGGAGCATCAGACCGTCATTTTTCATGGAAGCGGTATATCAATGTAGACTTAAACATTTGAGGTTCTCTTTCAAGGACGGCTATCACATCCTTGACAGTAATATTACGAGGAACCCTGGCGTGTACTGCAACTTGACTTTTGCCAACTCTTCTAACAGCACCTACACAGGACATGTTGATAAAAAGATACCTCAAATTGTCAAAGATTATTAAAGCAATGAAATATATAGCAGGAAGGAAATAGTGACTGCCTAAACCAGAGAACCACTCTGAATAAGAAACATCACCCTTTAAAAGGGCAGCCTGGTGTAAGCTCTGGCTATGCACCTTACCTTGTATTTCTACAATTGGACGTGTTTTCTTGAAACAATGACTGGTACAGTGAAGAGCTATGATCCTACTGATCCCATAATAAAATATTAAAAAAACCACAAGAGAACTTTCCATGTCCTGAATCAATTTAGAAATAGAAAAGCACATCAAGCAGATATGCTTGAAGCCTTGGGGAAAATGTAACATTCTGATTCATTGCTTCCAAAAGAAATTTCATTCCTCTTGCTGATTCAAATATCCATTAACTCTTGTTCCACTATTTTCAAACCCCAACATATTTCACCCTCCCCCCNTACTAAAGTTAGCAGTTCTAGATCAAGGGAAATCTACTATCAACATACCAGTTTACCAGTTTTCAATCAATATTGAGGATAGAATAATGATATCACATAAGGGTAAGAAAAACACAGTGCTAGTAGAATGGTCAAAGCTCATGCCACCGCAAATTGACTAGTGTGTCATCCTTTCTCAATCATCCAGATGCCCACCCAGTCATCAGGCTCCTCATTGACAGGGTTTCATTTACCAGAAAATGCCACAGGCCAGGAAACTGACAATTTCATAAGAGAACATGTGGAAATACAAGCATAGAAATGGCCCGGGGAGCAGGGCAATCAAGGAAGTTCTCTTGTGCAAAGGAAAGCTAAAAAATTAATTTCAGAGAGCTAGCCTTGGATGGGGAGCCACTAATCAGGCCAAGGAAGTCATCACTGCATCTAAATCACCTTGAGTATGAGGAACATCATCCATATTTAGAATGCTCTTGAGACGAGAAACTGCGCTCAATATTATACCATTTTCATACATACCAAGTGTAATAGGGGCAGTTGACTGGCTTCTGTTCTTAGCTTCTTGATTGTCTCTCAGATTTCTTGTGGGAGTTGATAAGGACCTCCACTTCACATCTTTACCAGGCTGTGAAGGAGACACCATGTCGAGTGCCCCTTCTCGCTTCTGCCTGGCCTGTTCAGCCATTAATTGCCACTTCGACATCATATCATCTCCTCCAACTGCAGCTCGAGCAGCAACATTTGCAGCTGTTGTCCGCAACTTGTCATCATCTTCCTTGTTTCTCTGCGAAGGTCCAAAAGTCGGGACGACGGATTGTAAGGTCTTTTAAAGGAAGAAATGACCTTTGGTACCATTAGCTTATCTTGGAACTGCCCGTAAAATACAAATAGAGGGGTGAAGAGAGAAAGTACCTTCATTGACCTTATGCGACCTGCATCCTTCTCCTTATCACCATCATCTCCAATATCACCCTCCGGCTGATATAAAGGTCATCAAAGTTAGAAACTTTGTAAATGAACACTGACAAGAAAAAATTAGATGAATTAACCACCAAGCAGAAACAAGAGTAACTAACTTCATTTGCCACTTGTAATTTTTCTGCTTCTGCCTGCTTCTTTTCCCATTCTTCCCGAACTTTCCGGTTCATTAACATTATTTGTTGACCAACATCTGAGGTGACAATTGTTCTATGTCTTGACTTCTCAATATTGACCCTCTGCAAAAATAAATGGAACTCCATCTCATATTTTTCTGGTATAAATCCTATATTCAAAATTTTTCACATGTAAAAGGAAAAAAAAAAGGTCATCCTTATAGACATTTTGTAATTAAATTTTTACCAAAGATAGGATAGAAAGTTAACCTGTTTCGATAGTCTGATGAGACTGCTCATAAGTCCACGCATCCTTTCCTCCACACACTAGAAGTTAAACATATAGATGTCAAGGATATCGCAACACAAATTAGAACAACAAAAACAAGAAAGATATAATCTCACCAATGATAAGCATCTTTCGACATCACTGCTCATATTCTTTAAACCACATTTTGCCACTGTCAGAAACACAGAGAAGAAGGGAAACAAAACCACAGATTTCAGTTCAGCAGCAAGACAACTTTAGCACCCCAGAAATTTTCAAAATGTTTAAGGCCTAATTAGAAGGTTATCAAGAGCTAAACACATCGTTTGACATGCCAACAATGGAAACCAAAAAAAAATGGGAGGTTGAAAATATGTATGCCGTGATTTCTAAGTGTATTGAACTGGTAAAATGACCAAAGGAACAAAAAAAAGATTGGAAATTTTCCCTGCACATGCTTTCAGAATGCACCGCACGCCCATAGCATGGGGGAGTTGAAAATTTTGGAAAGGGGTTCCAGGTGGAGGTAGAATTCTTAGCCTCCACCACATGCCTATCGCATGCTCGGTCACAGAACCCAGGGCAAAACTCATGCCGTGAGCACGCCATGAGGGAGGCCTATGGAAGCTGACTCCCTCGTACAATGGTCATGCGCCACATGGGTTCCTGCTTGGCCAGATATAGAGGGCATGCGATACTCATGTGCCACATGAGTACCGCATGAGGCCAAGCGACGAGGAGAGAGAAATGAAATACGCCTCCACTCCATTATGTTTTTGCACTATTTCCTTATTAATCCGTGTCAAAAAGAAAGACACATTTTTATATTTCTTTGATGAGAATCTTTTATAGCCATTGTAACATAGGATATCAATTAATAACATTTTGTCTCGTGCATCTCACATGGTATCAGAGCATTGGTGAGATAATTATCGTTGTGCGTCATTCCAACGACATTCGGGAAGAAATCAGTCGTCACCGTGCGATTTTCCGGTGACCTGAGAAGTTGTTTGCGTCAAAACCACTTTTTACCGGTGTTGTGCATAAACCAACACCACCAAAGTGTTCTCCATCCCCGGGCAACCAAACCCCATAAAACCCCATCGGAAAACACTCTCCATGCGCCCTCACGCGCCAGTCAAAGAAAAAATTCCGGCGAGATCTGCTCCAAGCGACGGCTCGTAGGGCCCTTTTCGGCAACATTTTGAAAATATTTCTTTAGGATAGCCTGCTCTCCTCACAATTCTGAGCCTACCCATCAGGTACAAATAAAATTCCGACAACTTTTATATTTTTCCGGCGTGAACAGTGATTTTTCCGGCGTGAACATTATAACGGCATTCGTATCACAAGACTGATTCACAATCCATTGGATCCAATGCAATCCAGATGGTTTCTTTATCGGATTATATTGAGTTCCTTCAATATAAAGCATCTAAACAGACATCTTCAGGGATAGCCTCCGTTGTTCAAACAAATAGTAGCGTGACTTGTGTCTCCCAATCTTCAACCTCTGAGTCTTGGGTCATTGATTCAGGTGCATCTGATCATATTTCTGGTAACAAATCTCTTTTCACTAGTATTTCATATTCTTTATCTCTTCCAACAGTCACAATGGTCAATGGGTCTCAAACCATTACAATTGCAATAGGTCAAGCAAGTCCACTTCCTTCCTTACCTTTAAATTCAGTTTTTTATGTTCCCGGTAGTCCTTTTAATCTCATAGCCGTTAGTCGATTAGGATGCGCCATACATAGTTGAGTCGAGTTGTAATTAAGGTTATTCACATTGCACGTATGAAAGCAGTACTATTGATATGTATATTTTCATTATATGGGCCAGATGAGCCAAGGCTTACATGTTTCATGCATGGATTTACAAATTGTTTTGAAATGGTTTAAAGTACATATGGTCGGGTAGATCATGTGGGTTGGTTTGCTCGGTAGGGTAGAGTGTTGAGTGTCGGTCGCGTGATCCCGTGGATTTTGGGGTGTGAAAACAGCTTCCTCTATCATCTAAATTACAATATTAAGTTGCATGTCCAGAGAACTGAAGAATTACAGAGAAGGATTTAACTTATTCCAGTCAATTTCTTTTGAAGCGGAATTTTCTGCAGAATCAGCCTTTCCTCTTCTTCTCGCACAGCTTGATGAGATGCTTCAGAAACTCGACTGTCTTCCTTGGGCCCAGAAAATAGTTGTTCTTCCTCCTCCTGTTGTGAGCATTACAAATCAATAGGTCATACTTTTTAATATCAACATTCAATAACTTGTGTGGCGATTAAAGAATGGTTTTCTCTGAACAAAAGAAAGGTATTACCTTTAGATTAACTCCACTAACAGCCGTAACATCATTAAGTTGTTCAATGCTCTGATCTGGAAAGGCTCCAGACACCTTTTGCTTCTTTCTGTGGACAATACAGAGATAAAAACAGGATAAAATTAAGTCAACGCTTTGAAGAAATAACACTAAGGTGCTACATCAGTAAATTGTCAGACTAGCTATAGAAAGTTTGTTTACCCTGAAGGTGGAGGAGAGAAACCTTGCGTAACGAGAGGCTTCTTCTGCCCGATAGTAGGCATTTTCAAGGGTATCTTTCCATTGTTTGCGGGCCCAATGGGAGATATCACAGAAGGTGTTCTAGAATTCAACTGAAAGAACAAAATAAGGAAAGCAGGAAAGACAATTTTATATTTTTGCCAAAAATACAAGCGAATACCAGATAGGCTAAAATGCTGCAGAAAATCGAGACAGGAACACAGAGATGTGCAGACCTAATTTAAACCTCCCCCACCCCCACCCACCTCCCACCTCCCAAGTGTTAAGTCTTTGTGAAAGAAATCAATAAGTTTATATGGTCAGTTAGTCTTCCAATGTCCAGCAACAACAACAACAACAACAACAGACCCAGTATAATCCCACAAGTGGGGGAGGGTAGAGTGTACGCAGACCTTACCTCAGCCTTAAAAAGGTAGAGAGGCTGTTTCCGGTAGACCCTCGGCTTAGGGAGAAAAAAGGGAAGGGGCAATAACAAGCAAACCAATCTGACAACCGAAGCGAAAATACAAAACTAACGCTAATTAATGCAAACAGAAAACCGAAACAAGGCAGCAATAAGTAATAACAGCAATCTAGGCATAAAAAGAAATACCTGAACGACACTAAGAAATGTATCAAAACTACTGTGACAAACAAGGACAACACTCGGCTACCTAACCCTCTACCTTTATTCTCAACTTCCACACATTCCTATCCGTGGTCATGTCCTCAATCAGCTGGAGCAACGTCATATCTCGCTTAATCACCTCACCCCAATACTTCTTCGGCCTGTCTTTACTCCTTTGTTGGCCCTCCAACGCCAGCCTCTCACACCTCCTCACAGGAGCATCAGTGTCTCTCCTATTAACATGCCCGAACCATCTAAGTCTTCCAATGTCCAGCAAAAGAGAAAAACATCTCCCAAAGAATAAAAAGCCCAAGAAAGGAAGTGTTTCGGTTGTGTGAATTGACTAAGAAAAAGGAACTCATATCAATGTATAATTATGAAGTGAGGTTTGATGTATTATCATAATAAAAGGGAGGTTTTTCGAGAGATTGTCTTTCTAACGACATGAACAACGAATCGATTAACAAGGCCCTTGAAACTCATAAATAGAAAGATAAATAGATTCATGCAAGTCATCAAATAATGAGGTTCAACAGAGTTGAGCTGTTCGCAAACAACACATGCAATCACGCATTAGAATATAACAAAAGCAAGCAGTTTAAGAATCTATCGTGTAAACAATGATACTACTTTCTTCTTGTCCTTAGTTTTACTTTTTCCTTTTAGTGATAGAGGGGGAGGGGAGAGAAATATGCCAACTTCAATTCTTATTTTTATTAATCTAAGACGGAATGAAATGAACTCATATAGAGTGGAATGGTCAATGGTCATCCAGGCGACCCCAATCAATTTGGGAAACCAACAACAGCATGATGCCTCAGTCTCAAACAAGTTGGGGTCAGCGATACAAATTCTCCTTCCTTTCATTTAGCTCAACTCATCACCATCATTACCAAAATTAAAATAAAAGTGCAAGTAAAAAAGACAAATTTATATAAAAATAATAGGTAATAACAACAATAATAATAGGAGTTCTCTATCAAGTCTAAAACCTATTCCCAACTAGTAGGCATCACCTATATAAATATCTCTTCCATTGTGCCCTGCCTTTAGCTAGTTCTGCATTGATTCCAAGGATTTGTAGGTCTTTCGAGACAATTTCCTTCCATGTGATTTTAGGTCTACTCGATCCCCTTTAACACCTTCCCCCACCATAGTTTCACACCTATGGACCAATACATCTGTAGGTCGACGCAAGACAAGGCCAAGCCATTTCAAGCAACTTTCTCTCATTTTATCCTCAATGTGTGCTACTTGCACCCTCTGGCAAAATGCGATCATTTTTAACCTTATCTAATCTTGTGTGACCGCACATCAATCTTGGCATACGCATCCCTGCAACACTCATCTTGGGAAACCATGCATTGTTATTCATTGATTCTTTTTATTTTTACTTTTTTAATTGTGATAGGTAAAGTTTTAAAAGTTAATAATCTATTCTAATTGGTGGAAGAAATGACTTAAACTTATTCAGGAAACGACTAACATTTTAACAAGTTTAAATTGAATTCCACATGCATGCATTGGATAAACTAATAAACACATGATTTCATAGTACGACTAATGTGAGTCTTTTCCCCTAAGTGTTAAGCTAGAAAGAGAACATTTTAAATCTTTGAAGGGTTTATGAACATAAGGGTTTTCTTGAAAAATACAAAAACAAAGAAAATGCTCTCAGGCACACTCCCCGAGGCGCCTGAGAATCATGAATCCTAGGATTTCACCACCACCATCCAAGAGCCAACCTTGCCGCGACAATACCCCAAAAAACATCTCCGGCATACGACCCCCCCACGCGCGGCAGAGCTCCGGCAACCTCTCATCCACGCGCCGGCGCGTGAGGCCTTTCCAGGCCTGATCTCAAGTTTTTTTCTTCAGACAGCCTCTTCACAAGGCTGTTCCGACCCCAACCATCCACCAACCTCCAAATTCCGATCACTTTTACTATTCTCCGGCGACGGGTGAGGCTTTTTCCGGCCAGATTTCACTCCCTCTTCTTCAGTCAGCCTCTTAGCGAGGCTTTTAGGGTAGCCGCATTTAGCTACGATGGACTATACAGAGAAAAGCTCTTATTTCTCTCTAGAATCTAGAAAACTGGAAAACATGTCTTTCATCAAAGCTGCCTCTTGGCCAGCCCTAGAACTTGGGGGAAGATGCCATCGAAAGCTCGACGTAGGGGAGGAGCCGTACTTCTCATTGTCCGAGGAGCACACTCTCAGGCGCAAGGGTTTCTTGGAATCTTTTCTGGTTGGATCTTTCTCCAAATGGGTTGGTTCTCTAGAGGGTGTTAGGAACTGGGCAGCAGAGGCATGGAACGTCAAGGACAGGCTGAAAATATCGCAACTCAAGGACACGCAATATCTCTTTCGATTTGTCGACGAGTCTCAAACTTCAAAAATTCTTGTCAGAGGAAACAAGTGGTTCGATGGGAACTTCTTAAAGCTAGACAGATGGGTGGAGCACGATCGGTGTCTCGACCCTCGTATCACCGGCGAAACATTGGTGATCAACATGGTGGGTCTCCCGATGCATCTTTGGTGTCTTGACCTATTCAAGAAGATTGGGGAAATTTGTGGGGGCTTTATTGATGTCACTTGCAGCCTACACAATCTCTCGAGAGTGAGGATTGTGGTGAGGAAAGGGGGTAGAATCCCTGTCTCCACTGTAGTGGAAGATGGCTACTTGAATTATAGGGTTTGGTTGAGCCCTGAATTTCGCCGTATCTTTATGCCTGTGATAGTGGCGGAAGAAAAAGGTAGGTCAAATAGAAGAGAAGGGAGGGGAAATCAGTCTTTGAGGGGAGGGGAGGGCTCACCGGATCAGTGGGCTAAGCAGGAATCAGAAGTTAGATCGAGAAGAGACGGGGGGTTTGAATTTGGGAGAAGAAGACAATTTTATCAGGAGGAAAAGACGTGAATGCCCTTGGGTTAGTGATGCGAGCTGCAAAGGCAAAATGGGCCGGTCCTCTTTTAATTATCATAGGGCCGGGCAAACATGGGCCCAGCAACTTTTCCCAATTCTATTAGAATTAATCCTAAGGGGCCCAAATTATTTCAAGTTGCGTCTAATAAGGCTCCTAAGCATATGGGAACAGTCGCTCATTCTTCTTCTGCCAATGGTGCTTCACACAGTGATATTTCTTCTCTGAGCTCTAGTGTCTTGTGCCCCTCTTTGATGGTCGTTGCTTCAGGGGCAGCACCGGCTAAAGCTGGTGGTGTTATTCCACGGCCTCCCGCCTCTGATGGACCCAGCTCCATCGCCCCCTCATCTTCTCCTGTGCTTAGCTGTGTTGAGGTTACACTGCAAGCTTCTTCTTCTTCTGGGGAGATTGTTGCGCATGCCCCAATTGATGTTAGTGTCTGTCCAGCAATTCTAGTTAATATGCCGACAAGGGTTCCGTGTTCTTTTTCTTCCCGTTGCACTGTTGCCGTTTCTGGACATTCCTATAGCAGCGAGGTGTTAATCTCAGAGGTTGGTGCCTCTCAAGGAAATGGTGAGATCCTTCCGGCACCTAAAGTTTTTATTGCTAGCAATGTTATGGTCTTGTATTCCTACGGTAAGAGCAAGGAAAAGGTACATATAGAAGATACATGTCCAATTTCGTCACGGATTGGAGGAGGGGATATGTCCTTCTGGATGGAGGATAAACTATTAAACTTCGGGAAGTTCTTAGGTGTTTCTTTTGAAGGGAAGGAAGATAGGGTGTTAGAACTGTTGAGGGAGATTAAGCAACAGTCTTTTTATGATGGTGCAGGGAGGGAGTTGGGTCAAGGTGTTAAGCAAAATAATTTAGGGGATGTAGTGGTGTACCAGAGAAGGGGCCGGGTGTGTGACAGGGAGGAAGGGAGCTCGGCTAGGGAGGGGGTGGGAAAAAGGGGGATATTGTTACTTATGGAAGTTAAGATTCTTTCATGGAATGTGAAGGGGATGAATGACTCAAACAAAAGGGTCATCATCAAAGTGGGAGTTAGAGAGCGGGATACCAACCTAGTTTGTTTTCAGGAGACCAAAATGGAAGTTTTGTCGGATGCGATTGTGAGGAGTGTCTGGGGAGGTATTTGGGTAAAATATGACTGGGTCCCAACAGCGGGAAGCGTCGGGGGCATTTTTCTTATGTGGGATGATAGAAGCTTGGAGGTAAAGGAGATTAAGAAAGGAGTTTTTTCTTTAGCAGCTCTTGTCAAAGATAGAGTGAGTGAGGTGGAGTGGGAATTTGGGAGAGTGTACGGACCGGTAGGAGAAGGGTCCAAGGTGTCTTTCTGGGAGGAACTGGCCAGTGTTATAGGGGAATGGGACATTCCATGGGTTCTAAGGGGAGACTTTAACACTATTAGATTCCCGGAGGAGAGATTAGGGTGTAGCCTGATTTCGAGGACCATGGAGGAGCTTTCTGACTTCATCAATGATCATTTTCTCATTGACCTTCTACTGTTAGGGGAAAGGTTTACTTGGGCCAAGGGTGGAGGATTCCAACTTAAGGTCTAG